TATTCCTTTACCCCCCCCCCCCCGTTTGCATGCCTGCTGTTACCCAATCACTTCCTGGTAACAATAAGGAAGAGACATCAGAGAGACACACATTACATCTCTGTCCCTCCCCACATGCATCATCATCATCATCATCATCACTCTGCTGTTTCAACTTGCCGTCATCAGCCTAATAAGTCATTAATACATCTCACAGGACCTGGCAGTAAAAAAAAACCTGTGTGTGTATTATGTACTGTAATGAACTATGATTGTGACATTATCACGCTGGGCTGTTGGGTTCATATTATATCCCGAACACATATAAAAACCACGAGCGAAGGTGCGGCTGAAAGTGTCGTCACATCTGTGAGTGAACCTGAAAACCCCCAGACTCATGTGTGTTGACAGGAAAACTCAAACCATTTCCTCAGCAAGTAGTTTCAGATTTATTTTTCAAAAGGCAAAACTGTGACACGAGAACAAATGTAAAAAAAGGAAATCTTTTACTTAAGGTATTGTGTTTTGTAACTTTTTGTTGTGTTGTTAGCTGAAGAAGCTTGTTTGCTTTTACAAAAGTGGCATCACGTCTCAGATTCAACCAAAGTCCAGAACGATTTACGGCAAATTACAAATATGTACATTCAAATATTTGCATTTAAAAAGAAACAGGTTGTGTGAGATTCTGTCTGGTTTCAGATCGTCCTCTCGAGTGCAGGGTTTGTCCAACGCTCCTGTGAAATGTTTAGTTCCAGTTCTTAAAGAACTGCTTGAAGATGATGGTCTCCTTCCCCTGCGGCAGAATCTCCACCTGTAGCACAAAGCACATAACGTTTCTCACCGTAAACATACAGAGGTGATGCTGAATGTACCGAGGGTGACGTTACAGACACAACTCCCTGAGGGCTTTATGTTTCAGTTAAAGAGCGATGAGCAGTACCTGTGTTTTCATCCTGGGGTACTTCATTTGCACGATGAAGTTATCTGCCATCTGCAGGGCCTCCCTCTTCTCCTCAGCGTTGGCTCCATTACCTGACACATGACAAAATGATGGAACTCAGACCCAACTCGCTGTTGAACCATCAAACATTTTTCACGACGCTCATTAAATTTTCATTTGACTGGACACTGAATAGCATGAGCATCTAACGACTATCGCTTTCCTCGGTTTGCATTTCAGGCAGCAGATGTTCTCCTGGGGGTCAAGCAGCGTTTTACTCACCTTTCCACACGAAGACCTTTCCGTTGGCACCGTTGTCCAGGATGAAGCAGTCTTCACGAACCAGCTGCTCCTTGGCAAACGGGCTCTTCTCCGACACTTTGGTCATCGTCATTGAACCAGTGGCGTCTGACACCTGTGGAGAGAACGTACACGGGTTTATGTTTTTGCTTAATGGAAAAATAATGGGGGCCCCTTCATGGAGCCAGACCAGGCTGGCAGGAGTCAAACAACACGAAGCCGCAGGGGGCAGGAACTTTGCTGACCCCCTGCATCGCAGTGTTGCTCTTGCATGGAAAATAACCTCTCTGGCACAGAAGGGCCAAGTTTAGATGGTTCGGACATCTTATCATGAGGTTTACCGGACACCTCCAATTGGGACGAGGCCTGCAGGGGTAGACCTTGAACTCTCTGGAGGGCCTAAATATCCCATCAGGCCTTGGGAACGCCTCAGGATCCTGGGGGTAGTTTCCTCCACGACCAGATTTCAGATAAGTGGATGGATGGTGAACAGATGTGAATAGTAATTTATATACAAATGCAGATGGGGTTACCTTGTAGAGCGAGGCAGAGTTAGAAGCGTCTGCTTTGCTGTCCTCTTCTGGCGTACTCTCTGCCAGAGCGGGCATCTTTCCCAGGACCTGATCATCAACACAGGAAAAGCTTAAAAACCTCTTATCTGTGTTTTGGGTTCATGTAACTTAATTTCTAGTATTTCTTGGTTGTAACTGTTGACATGGAAAGCATATAAACCATATGAATTCTTCACAATTCCGTATTTACCTTGAGCATCTCCTCAGGCTCCTCCCCTTCGTTGGAGTCCATGATTTTTGCTTTACCGTGTCTGTCCGTGTCACGGATCAGTGAGGCGATCTCGCGCACTTTCTGCTTCTCGAAGAGGTTGGCTTGCGATCCGATCCATGACACAATCGTCTGGAAAGCAGTGAGGCCGCATCAGATAAACAAATTACATTTAAATATTATTATATCCTGCATGTCCATCTTTATCTATGTGTCCTCACCTCTCCAAGGTCCAGGATGAAGCAGTCTCCCTTGTTGAAGCTGCTCCAGGACATCTCCACCTCCTTGGCACGGATGTTGCGTTTCCCCTTGATTTGGTACAACCTGTGCACCGTCCCCGAGCCCTGATGCCTCCTGAAGCCCGACTCCACACCACCCTCCTGACGAAGAATAGATTTAAAGTAGTAAAACGTCTGGTGGCTGCTAATCTTTTTTCTTTTTTAACATTTGAAGTTGTTCTTCCTGCTGTTAAATGTCACAGAGATTTCAGGATTAACATCGTTTGTTTTAACGTGATAAACTTGGCATCTTTCATAAATGAACTCTGGCACATCGCTTTATGTAGGGTGCAGTGATATTATAAAAGACCTTATCTAACAATAACAGACGCCAGACGAAATAAATATGATAAAATGAAACACTGGCCCTCAATATAATAAATTACATTTGATTGGAGACATCTCTTCAGTTTCAGTTTCTTCACAGGTTCTTAAATTGAATTTGTTATAACTTCAACTTTTTGATGCATAATAAGTGCAGTCTTATTTTTTAGCCGGTTATGCTTCTGTAATTTCCAGAAATGTTTCAAATAATGTCCAAGATATTTTCTGGAAAGATTTTGGTAACAATTAAGAGATAATCAGTGTGCAAACTTTATACCTAGAGGTAAGCTTACAATGCAACATATATGAAAGTTTAAAACATAATACATTTTATTCTATTTATTCAGTTATATTGGCTTTAGTGACATTTTATATAAAGGAATTTATTTCAATTGCTGAGTTTTTACAGTGTAAAAATATAAACCACTTAAGTATTTCTTTGAAACTTTCTTGGAAATAATTCAGAAATAATTCATAAACTATCTATCCCATAAAATAAAGCATTTTTTTTGCCTGATGATATTTCACTTTTTCTAACATGTCAACATCCAGAGTCAGATCCCTGGTGCTCACCTTGTAGCTGACTCCTCTGGGGAAGAGCGTCATGAACTCCGGGGCCTCGTAGCCCTGAACCTGCCGGTGCTGAATGGGGTCGCCGCCCAGGAAGTTGTCCAGCTGAGTGACCAGCATGGCGCACGCCACCTGCTCATCCCGAGACGACTTCTCACCTGCAGCCAAACAACAAACGAACAAAATATAAAGTAAAAAAGGTTCAGAATGATGAAAACCTTTTTGTGAAAAGTGTGTATCAATCTTTGTGAGTTTGAGAGATGCAAGTAGTTTTAATTCATTCATTATGACTATTCTACACAATGAATGTAAGCTCTTTAGTACACTTTGTCAAAACCAGAACTTTTCTACTGTATTTTGTATAATTACAACAAAATGATGGAGACAGCGAAAGTAGTGAAATCGCTCTGAATACATTTTTTTGACCCCTGAAATTCTTACTAAGGCAGAGCTGAAGGACAGAGGGATGTAAAAGCACAACAAGAAAGAAGAAAAAGAAAGAAATCAGAAAGGTTAAAATGTCAAAAATGAGGAAAAGGAGCGACAAAGGTGAAAGAAACAACACGGAGGTCATTAACTGTAAACGAGTGGAGGAGGGGTCAGAGGGTAAAGGGCCCTCAACCAGCTTTGTGTTTCCTGAGCACCACATACACGCTGGAAACAACAGCCACATTTGAGCACTGTCACAGTCCTCCTGCAGTTTTAATGAGCCCCGCTGAAAAACCATCCCTCGCTTCCCTCGGGACCTCTGTTCCCTCTCTCTTGTCATCCGTCCATCCCCTGTCCCCGCACAATGATGCCGCGGGTCAGTGCTGTGGCTCGTGTGTCATCGCTGTCATTAGCGGGAGGGTTATTAGCTCCTCGAGCGCACGATGGGCCAGGGTTGGATGTGCAGTAAACACTGGACGGTGGTTAAAGAGTAGAACAAGACACACGAGAGGCCATTTGTTCTCCTTCCCTGTCAAAAACCCGGTGACTACATTACCCACAATGCAAACTGGCTGCTGACTGATTCAGGTGTAACTCCACACGCTCATTTCTTTTTTCCATTTTTCAAACTTGAGGTGGAATATCAGATCCATAGACTTTATAGGAAGTGAAGCCAAAGTATATTCATCGCCTCCTGGTGGCTGCCTGCAGTATAAGTTGTAAATCTCACATCCAAACTCATCAAATGAGTATGAATATGAATATGAGTGTATTTTTATATGTTGATTTATTTATTAGCAGGATTACACAATAACTGTTCCACCATGGGGCCTGGGCTTTTTTTTCATTTTCCTTAATTATCTTAATTTATGATAAATAAATCTTTTTTTTTTAATTAGACCACTTCTTTTTTTCTTTCATATTTCTACTATAAGAACTAGATGATCATGTGTAGGAGGTATTAAGTCCCATTCTGGTCTAGTTTCTGTTGCCATATTTACATCCTGGCTCTTGAGAATAGGTTGAGCACAACAACAGACCCACAGTACTTCCTATTATCTTGATTCTTTCATCTTTTATTTTTGAAACATTTCTTGCTCCGGGCAGAGTATTCAGGTTGTTTTTATTAAAATAAAAAAAAGCTTCTTCTATTACTGATTTCACTATAGAGTTGCAATTCACCCAGACACACTGGAAACCTGTTGAGTGAACGATCAGACTGCACAGCTGCACGTTATATAATCCTATTGCATTGTGCCTTGTTACAGAGACAACTCCAGTTGTGTGTCCACCTCTCTCACCTATCCACATGTGCAGGTTGGCCCCCAGCTGGTCGCGGTTGTCCAGCACCAGATAGGAGTCCCCGTTGTAGAAGGCCCCCACCTCGGAGGGATCCAGCAGCACTGCCTTCATCTTCTCCACCCTCCACACTCGCAGGCCCGGCTGCCGGACCTCATCGCTGAACTGACCCGGTGCTGCCTGGAACGGGAGCATGCTGCAAGAGGAGAAGAAGACGAGATGTAAGACAACAGGAAAGAAGAAGTTGGCTGAAACCGGAAGTAGATAGGTTGTGTCATTGTCTCCATTTGGGAAGAGATGTCTGGTTTTGGATGCATGAGGGAAGTGACTAACATGTCACGATCAGAAGAGGAGGGTTTTTCTTTCTTCTAACTTCAGTCTAGAAAATTTTAACTGCTTCAACTCCTCTGCGTGACTGAAGAGGTGTTTTTTTGAGACGTTGTTGAGGATGTGGTCGGAGTGATGAGCGCTTTAACACTTAATGAATGGTTGTGTGTCGCTGCCTGAAGCCCACAGGCTACATAACATCACTTTTTATGCAACACAACACCAAGTGAGCTGCACATTCAACACAACACTAGTGTCATTGCTCACACAAAAAAAACACAGGTGTGGCTGTATTCATGCTGGATCACATGGCAGGGAAGGACCAGCCTTTGTAATGTACTTTTCCATCACTGCGTCACATATTTTCTCACCGTCTGAGAAACAAAACTGCTTGTGGACGTTAATAGAGTGAATGTGTGTCTCCTTCTGTGTGCTGGTGGCAAACTGAAACCCAACAAGATTTATGAACAGATGAGTTACTGCTGCTTTTCTCTGTCTCTTCATTCTGTCCCACGGCTTTGTCATGTTGTGAAAATCACACTTGTGTTGTCAGTATTGTGATTTTCTGGTATTAAAAGGCACATAACCGCTTCATAAATCGATGCTGGAACAAAATAATATACATTTTTTAGGAGGTTTTTTATTTCTTTATCGAGTTATCTCTAGATTAGCATTTTGTTTTAGCTGTATTCAGTTTATCATTTATTTATCATCTAAAAAGTGAATTCCATCACTTCACAATTCTCTCGGGCCTAACGTGTCACATTCAACAATAGTTGAGAGCCAAAGAATATTCAATTTACATTTAAATATAAGGTTATAATCACAACTGCACACAGTTAACAGGGCTTCCTCTCTGATGAGGGAGACCATGAGCTGTGGGGGTGCTTGAGCTTTTTTTTTTTTGCTTCCTTCCTTTTGAGCTTCATGACATTTTCAAATAAACTCTCACTATATAACAGTGTTCAAATAAACATTAACACAACAAAGGGTGGAGCATTTATGAATGAGAAAACTCATATAATTATATAACCTTTATATAAGCTGTTTATGTTTGAATGGCGCTGGCACCAAACCATAATGATAACGGAGGATTAGTGAAGATGGCTCTCACATACACAACAGTGTTAAACATTAATCATGAGGCAGCAGTGTGGTCAGTCGCACAGGATGCTAACATGTTCAGGATGTTTGCACTGAAGCATGCTGCCATCAGCCTCTTTGGGCTGAATGCTAATCTCAGCATATTAGATGTTACTACAAGAATGCTAAATAATAATCTCAGCATTCAAATATAAGCATCTTAACATTTCTGAAAATGCAAAGATTTTATTTATTGATTTCACATTTATTTATCTACGTGGTTCTAATTCAAATAAAAATACGCAATCATCTTTTTCCATATGAGACAAATATCTATTTTATTTGAACACAGTCATCTTTACTGTTATTGAAGGAAACATACGAATGGAGTGAATGCTCTTTGAAACCTTCCAGACATCAAATAACCACTGAACACAACAGCAGCAGCTTCACTCTGTCAAACCAAATGATTCACTCTACTCTCGTCATATATTGGATATCAATTATTAGTTTTACACCTGTCGGTCAGTTGATGCTGGTCGCTGAGACGATAGAGACAGAGACAGTGCAGCAGAGTGGAGGAGAGGATCTGACGGAGCCAGCAGACAGGAAAAGGCCCCGGGGCGGCACAAGGCAGGGGCCCTCGGGTTAAGGTTACAATGCCTGCGCAGCCACTCTAAGAGTAAATAAGACCCCGGTCCACTTAACTGTAAGATCTGCTCTGGTACCTGCGGCATGCTGTCTGACTCCAGCTCCATCCTGAGGGTCCACTGGCCTGTGAGTGTTTGGGGATGTGAGGGATCGTCCGTTGGGGAGCGTGTGAGTGTTTGCTCTCACCTGGCCTGGTTAGCTTATATGCTGGAGGTAACTGGAGCTGGCGTGTTGTAAGCCTACCTGCAGGGTAGGATGCTGAGCGTGTGCATGTGAGTGTGTGTTGGGGGATGCGAGGGTCAGGTTCCTGGTTCCTGGCTAAAGCTAAACAGCAAGTGGATAATTACTGGAGAGCGGGCCGCTGGCTCCTCCATCTTTCCATTCTCCCTTTCTCCTCTGGCTCCAGCCCTCCTCCTCCTCCTCCTCCTCCTCCTCCTTTATCCCTGTATGACTTCTCACTAACCAAGATGCTTTATAACCATCTATTTCTTTTCCAAGCAGGGAGCGTGACATGAGGAAATACAGGCCCCTGACATGTGACTCTTGGGCCCACTCACTTCCTCATACATTTAAAGTATCACTGAACCCACTTTTTTGTAATCCCAATTATATTAGGTTTTATATTCAGGCATTGACAACACACTTTAAATTGACAAAGAGCTGAAACAGGGACATTTCAAAGAATAAAGTAAGTCCTGCTAATGTCGAGAGAACAAGACACCATGAGAAGAGAGATCCTTGTGCTGTCAGTGTCAGACAGAGAGAGACAGAGAGACAGAGACAGAGAGACGGAGACAGAGAGACGGAGACAGAGACAGAGAGACGGAGACAGAGACAGAGAGACAGAGTGGACAGAGCAGGTTAGATGGAGACAGGAGGTCACAGATCTACAGCTGCAGGGGTCACTGAGTCAATCAGTCATTCATGTGATGATTGATTAGACAAGGAGTGTGTGTGTGTGTGTGTGTGTGTGTGTGTGTGTGTGTGTGTGTGTGTGTGTGTGTGTGTGTGTGTGTTTGTGTGAATGTGCTGTATGTTTATGAGATTAGAGGATTTGAATCAAGACAGACTGAAGCAGGAAGAGGCTGAGACAACAGAGAGATCGAGGAAGATTAAATTAACCTTTTAGAGTTGGAGTGAACTTTTGTTTTTAATTCACATTACACTAATCTTCTCCTCTGACATGAAGTACAAGATCTCAGAGGCTGATACCTCTTCAACTACCCCCCTTACTTTATATCATGGAAGTTGTAACACCTAGATTACAGGAAGTGAGACAGAAGGTTAGGAGGAAAAGAAACTAAAGGTCGAAGTTTTTCCAGAATGATAAAATTAAAGTGTAGCAGTTAGTTTGAATGGACACATGCATGTCAGAAAAAGCGGAGGAACTAAAGATTCATTGTCCCGCTGGGAGATTCCTCTGCTGAAATTCAGGAATGTGATGAGCAGACAGAGACAGAAAGAAGAAAAAAAGGTTTCAGGGTAAAACAGTTGAAAGGAAAAGGAAAAAAAGAAGAAGGGAGAAAAAACAGGACTGACTTTGAGATCTTACAGCAGAAAAGAAGAATAACAACCTTACTTTAATCTTACCTTAGAGAGTGAGTGAGCAGTGGGACACAAACACGTCTGAGCAGAGAGGGGAGTGAAATGAAGTCTTGCAAGAAGAAACTCGTTCCAAAACACACACATCCTTTCACACACACAAACACACACACACACACACACACAAAATATTTCCTGCCTTTGTGTGTGGCAGCCATAGCCCGGCCCCCTGACTCAGCCACAAAAGGAGAAACAAGTCCTGAAACCTGATTGAATCAGTACTTGATTTGGAGGTAGTCTTCAAAAGCAAACTAAGCTTGTTTCACAGAGTAAATACCAAGCTGATAAAACCAAACTAGTAACCTGTTTTTTAATATTTTCACCTCTTATGTGTTTCTTTCTTTGGAAAAATACAAAAATATGTGACAAAATGTCTTTAAAATCCATCAAACTCCGCTTCCTCCACTTTCTAGGACCGTTTATTACTATGGGGTAGATATTATGCCATATTCCGAAACTCAGAAAAGCTTTGAAAGGTTGAAACTTAGTGTTTGCAAGCTTTAAATCTAATAAAAACAGGTTTAGCATGATTGACATTAAGTTTTGAAGAATTGTATAATATCGGAAAAACATTCAAATCTCTGCAAACAATGAGTCGAGCATCTTTTTATTTCGACACTGCGCTCCAGACCTGCACTCGTATTGTAGCTTGTAGCATGACTCACTCCACAGTTGGCAAATATTGCCATAGCAACCAGCCCAAATACAGTTATTAGTCACACGTGGTTTCAACCGAAGTTGAACACGCCTTCATGTCTGTTAAGTTTTAGCAGCACGGTGCGTCCGCAGATCATCGTGTGGCTCAGTGATTCATCATTTTCATGGGTGACTCTCACACAAGGCTGAAGGGACCCACTGGGTGAGCCCACTGATTATCTCCTCGAGGGCGTGTACTCACAAGAGATGATAACATCCTCCTCACCAAATAATTTGACTTCTATCTGTAAACGTCACGCTCTCAAACGAGGGGCCTTCAAAGTTCATAAAGTTCATGTTCAGCTTTGAGTTAAGAAAATGTTGATCAATTGAGTCTGGGACTGGAATTTTAAATCAACTGAAATACATTGGAATGTTTTTAAACCTTTTTTATGTTAAACCAAGTAAGAATTTTAACAAATGTATTCAAATAATATTTATGCAACAAAATTAGTACTGACACTGCAGTAAAATATCAGATAATCAGTTTCCATCGATGCATTTTGAATGTATTCATTTTTTAAATCTCCTTTAGGGGCCGTATTCAAGAGCCCCTCACACTTTAAAGCAGAGGTCCCTTATAGACGGACACAGGAACTGAACTCCTGAACTGGAGGAATCACTTAAAACAATCTCAAATAGTTTAATTAAACCCAGTAAATTTCATTTTAATTCTTAATAGAGATCCCACAGACATTACACAGGCTACTATACCACACTACAAGTCCACCATCTAAAAATAATCATCACTTTCTCCTCCACTCACGTGCTCTCTGGGTTTACTGTAATCCCATCATTGTCAGAAACACATATTATATAAGTGATATGATCATTATAATGAGCTCAATCACATATGATCTAATTGAAATGTGTCTGTGATATTACTGCCTTGCTCAGAGGTTTATGTCAGATAAACACTGCACAGATGTTAAGTGTGTTGTGTTTTAGATTTTCAATATGATAATCAATATGAGCCTGTTTCTAGATCTGGTGTGAATGAGCCTGATTTGTTTAAGAGTTAGTGGGATCACAGCGCCCCCAGGTGGATGGAACATGTTAGTTCCACTCAGTGCACACAGATGTTCAGAATGCTGATGTTATAGACTGTAAAAAAAAAAAGGCTCTTATTAATGATGCAGTGCAGATTCTTCCCCTCACGTTATGTAAGTGAATATTTAATTCAATCTTGAGGTACATTACTTTGAGTATTTCATTTTTCTACCACAACATAGTGCAAACTGTATCTAAAATGATTAATGTGTATCATATCTATATACAATCTGAAACGTGAGGTACTTTCACTTTTTAAATTTAAAATCAGTTTAATATCACATTAACCCAGTAATCAGCATTTCGGGTAATAATAGGCCTTTATCAGACTTAAGCATTATAAGTATTATCAATAAAAAGTATTCATTATAAAAATAGTATTATACAGTATCGATGTTTAGATGCTATTTACTGGCTTCATCTATTCAAAACATTTTCAAGATGTCCAAATATTTTGCATATCAGACTTTACCCACCGTATGTGAAATGAATCTACTCTAATACATTTTCTATTCCCCAATGAACATGTGACATACATGTGACAGAACAGGCAGAAACATGTAGTAAAACTTTTATTCTTTTTCCAAGTCAAAAAACAAACAGAACAAAGATACAGAGAATGAGATAATGAATCGATTTCTATACAGTGGCAATTTTAAGTTAAACCTTCCTTTGCCCAGACGTGGCATCCTTCCTCAGTTCGAAACCCTGTCTCACCTCTGGACACACGCTAACCGCACACACATACACACTTTCAATCATTCATTCACCCTGGGAGTCCCAGCGCCCTGAATTGACCGGACGGCACACAGTTAAGACGACAGGATTGGATGCAAGCATAGTGGACAAAATGTGACATTTAAGTGGCTTAGAGGAAAGCAACAAGTTCCACCACAATATGAAGTTAGTGCAGCAACCAACCCTGCTTTATCTCAAAGGCCAGAGGATGCAGCCCCGTCAGTTCAAGACGACCCAATTAGAAGCAATGTTTCACAAAATCAGACAAAACACTTTTAGAACAGAACGCAAAAAGAATTACTGGTTGTATTTTTACTTCCTCGGGACTCCCAGTCTGATCCGATACATCCCCACCCTCCCCACGTCACTGGTACGTACACTGGAAGAAAAAAGAAACACTGATTTCAGAAATGAGGATGACTTGTGGATGAAGAGGGAAGAGGGAGGAGACCCAGCTTATCCAAAAATAAATCAAAAACCGCAACGAATGATCAAATAGAGCGAGGAGGGAAAAAAATGTTCCATTGTCATCAAGCATAGACGCTTCCTCAAACTGGGTCGAGTCGTGTGAGAAAGCACCGATATTCAAACGAAAGGTCACACTAATGTAGTGGGTAAGGTTGTTTTTTTAAGAGAGGCCAAAAGTGATGTTTCTTTGGAAGATCTCTGCTTAAAAGGAAATAAACTGTTTCACTCTGACTTTTTGTCCATCTAACCGCAGCGATGCCACAACCCGTCGGCAGCACGCAACGTTCCGTACAACTTTCAGTGAAAAGAGTTGGCGCTATGATGGCTGGACTATTGGGGGAGAGCAGAGGGAGGTGAAGAAAAAAAAATTAAAAAAGCACTCCCCTCCATCCCCTGCCCCTTCATCCACAGTGTATGAACACGAGCCTCCTGCAAACAAGGTTCACAAAGTCACCAAAAGCAAACAAGAGAAACCCCCCCCCCCCAAAAATATTTAATTCGAAAATTGTCTCTATTCATATTCACACAGAATAGTAGTTAACTTTTTCTTAAATAAACTGAATAGTCCAAATAAACCTGTGTACACGTCAACTATTAGAAATAGGACGAAGATTAGCAAAGAAGTGGGAGGGATTCGAAAAAACAAATTTCAACCTAAAGTTTGATTAAAACGTATTAACATGTGCTACTCATGCAAAACAATGACAGAAGCAGCAACGCCAAACTACTATCCCTCGTCCATGTGCGTCCCACTTCATCCGAGAATCAAAATCAAAGACAGAATAATAATTCTGACCATTATTTTCTTCCATATAAATCTTTAAATTCCCAGTGTCATGGGAAGAATAGTATCTGGAAAAGTTTTTTTTTAAATTTTTTTTTTGCTTTTGATGCACAAGTCTGCAAAATGGTAGAGGACAAGAGGATGCTGGTGGGTGCTTTCATGACATCTTTGAGGTTTTGTCTTTGGGGTGTGAAGGAGGAAGAGGGGAGGGTGACGGGTACACGCACCTATGTAGTTAATGATGTTCAGAGTTAATTTTCCTTCCAAGCCAGTTTTTCTCTCCTGCAGACAATCCAACCCATCAAACACCTAAATCTCCATCTTTAACAAAATGCCCCCAAAACTGGCAGCAACTGGACTTTAACAAAAGAAGCAAATGGTCTAACAAGATACAACTTGGTGAAATATGCAGTAAACAAAGTCTAAACCTTACCTCCTTGATTTTCTTTAGAGCTTATGCTTTAGTGATGAATACAATCCACTCAGATTTTCAAAAAAAAGGCTTTTGGCAATGTGTATGCTTTCCAGGAACGACTATACACCCAACATTTAGAGAATGAGAGAGAGACTGGATGTAATACACTAGAAAGTTAAAAAGGGACATTTTCTCCCCCTCGTGTGTTCACCACATCCTCCTCTCCTTGTCATTCCCTCTTGGGATTTGCTTCAACATCCCATGTGAAAATTAAAAAACTATTTCAAAAGGCAGCCTTTTTTTCCTTCAGGCAAAGCAGTTCAAGTCTTTCACATCATAGTTTTATTTTAGATTTTTGGGGGGCAACAGTTGGGACCCCTGTGGCTAAAAACACTGCCACCTCCAGCTGGTTAAAATGTGCTGTCCTTCAAGTGTCCTCCGTGAGGTGACACAGGTTTTTCAGGTGCCCCTCCTCCTCTGTGGTGGCTCATCAGTTGTTCTCCTCATCGCTGTCGTCGGGGCTGATGGCCGGGCTGTAGGTGGGTGAGGTGGGGCTGTATCCAGGGGAGGTGGGGCTGTAGGTGGAGCCTTTAGGACTAGTTGGCGAGTACGTAGGAGATGTAGGTGAATACTTCGGTGAGGTTGGGGAGTAAGTTGGGGAGGTAGGAGAGTATTTGGGGCTGGTGGGGGTGTAGGTGGGAGAGGTTGGAGAGTAGGTAGGAGAGGTGGGGCTGTATTTCGGCGTTGTTGGGGAGTAGGTGGGAGAAGTAGGGGAATACTTCGGAGATGTTGGGGAGTACTTTGGAGAGGTAGGGGAGTACTTTGGAGAGGTGGGAGTGTACTCCGGGGAGCTCGGGCTGTATGAAGGTGAAGTCGGGGTGTATTTGGGGGAGGTGGGGGAGTAGGAGGGCGAGCTGGGGCTGTATGAGGGTGAGCTTGGTGTGTAGGTGGGTGACTGCGGGGTATAGCGT